AAAAAAAAAAAAAAAAAAAAAACTGGTGCAAAAAAGTAACAATGATGTGTATAAATGTACTCAAAAAAATAAGTATTATAGCATTTTTATCTAAAAGTAAAATATATATAATGAGGGAGGTAATTTTCAAGTGAACGAATAGTGAATTAAAATTAACATAATGTATGAAGATGATTGATTCATATTATTAAATTATTTTGATAATATTGAGAATAGCTGAGTTGGAAAAAATTCGAGTTAGATTTTGAGTTAAAAATTTATCTCGTCAAAATGACCACATAATTTATAACCAATGGGGCCTAAATACATCACATCTAGGAAAACCATAAAAGCTGATATAATTCCCATAAATTCACAAACAAAGTGCTACAATAGTTCTTAGAGCGTTGGAGAAAAAGAAAATGTCACACACACACACACACACACACACACACACACACACACACACACACACACACACACACACCTTAGGCATCAAAATTGTATCCTTTATCCATCTCCGAAGGAAAGGTTGAGTGGATTCTCAAATTAAAGAGGAAAATAACATCACTATTGCAAAAGCATTTTCAAGGTGGCCCAGAATTAGAGTGGATATGAGTATCCACGAAGATACTTCGAATCAACTCCTGATTCTCGTGCAAGTGCCACTCTACCAGTTCGTGCAACCTGCAGAAGTTCATGCAAATAGGTACATTTTAGATTATAAGTTATTGCATGAAACCCACCAAAACGGTCTCAAATTGAAGGTTCATGCACAAATTGCATGAAACCCACCTAAACGGTCACAAACTGACATATCACTCACACTCACATTCAGAATAAACCATGAGCTAATCTCTCAAGCAATAGTTCATAATCGTAACAGAAAGTTAATCTAAATAAGACAAATGCATATTGACAGTCCATCGAGGCAAACTAAAAAGAACCTATAAGAGCTATCTTATCTTCTCATGAAGGAAATCGAGTCAGATATAAAGTATGAAAGTTGTACCTCACAAATTCCGTATGGTTCTAACAATCTTTGCAAAGCAACCATTTTGTCCAGATCTCCTGTGAGCTGAAATAAGTAGTACAATGCCAATATCAAGAACAAAAGAAGGTTAAGTGAATATTGATGATGTGATGTGTAAAACAACAGGATCCTACCACAAGTGAATAAAGTCAAACTTTATGTCAATCCATTATGTTCTCCTAGCATCACTCATCTTTCTTTCCCGATAACAAACTGGTATCATTATTTCAACTAGCTTTAGTATATCTTCTTTAGAAATGTATTTAACATCAAGTATTAGAGATATAAATTACTTTGTAATTTAGATTTTAAATTATTATTTTTATGTATTTTACATTCTTACACTTAAATTTCCTAAGCCATACCCGCACAGTCATTTATGACAAATGTTTCACAGTTTCACTGTCTAATGGGATCTGTAGCTTAACATGCAAATGGTCCACACACACAAATCTTATTATAAAATGTAACCACAATTTTAGATGCCACACCATTTAAGTCACTTAACATAATTAATATTTATTCCATGTACATCCGCATCACCATTTACCTCGAGGGTGATGGTGTGATCAGATACATCGACAGCTTTCGCTCTGAATATACTAGCTATGTCAAGAACATTCCGCCGAGCAGCAGCATTCACAGCAATTTTGATCAACATCAATTCCCTCTCGGCAAAAGGTAAATGTGTGAGGTCTTGAACCTGAAGAGATTTCATAAAGCAAAAATTATTCAAGGAAATTTCATAACAGCCAAGGCAATTCTTGTATGCAGTAAATAGTATCTATGTGGTTCTATAGAGTTGGAGAAATGGAAGCTGATATAACAATATTATGCTCTCACCTCATGAAGATCCACCAATTTACACAGTTGTTGCACCAACTTTCCTATCGATTCATCTGTACCAGGAACAACAGTGGTAATGCGTGAAAGCCCCTCAACTTCAGAATGACCAACAGCTAAACTCTAAGAACAAGAACAAAAACACGGAAAAGGAAGTGAATTATAAGTGTTCTATAGAAAAACAACAAAGACAATTTAGTGAGCATTGTGTTTAAAGATACAACACCACTATACATACTGGATTAATAAACAGGTTGGGGATGTGACCTTAATCCCCCTCCCCTTTTTTAGTATATTGGAAACGACAAAAAATAAAAATAAAAACAGAAATACTTACTTGGATATTATATCCTCTTCGAGCAAAAACACCTGTGACGAGGTTAAGGACTCCAGGAACATCATTGACAACCATGGAAAGCGTGTGAGAGCGGAGCCCACTAGTCTGACAGCTTTAAGGAAAACTATTAGTAAAGTACCTTTAGAAAATTTCAGGAAGAATAAAATTCTAGAATCTAAACGTCATTTTCTTGAATACGAAGAACAATAAGGCAAGAACTGTGCGTTTATCCAAAAGCAATCAAAACTTAGGAATGTTCATGCATTTTTATAGCATATCATGATTCACCTCATGAAAAACAAACGCAGTTCTTTGCATTTACGAGATGGTTGTGGAGGTTATTTCATATGCACAGGGGATCAAAAGAAACTAACACCAATATTTATCATCCCAATTTAAAAGTGAAGCAAGTGCTGTCAAATGGGTAAGAAAACAACTTCTTACATCTTCGTCATCCAACATTCCCCAATGAGCATCAAGAACTTGATTGATAGAAATGCTGTCAGGGGATTCCACAGGGTAAACGTCGCCCTTCATGTAACAAACAATGTGTTAAGACATTTATTTGAGACTTTTCCAACTTCATGAAATTGCACATGTTATTCATAGGAACCAACATCACAACCTACAACTCAAGACAATTTTCTCGTGGTTTATCCGTTCTCAGTTAAAAATTTAAAAAAATGAGCATTCCCATGATAAGCATGTCAGCCTTTGAAAATCCAAAAAGATGTAAACTATACACAAATACTCAATTAGGAAAATTTTTTGGTGCACAGGTCATACTGGAGGTTTGACCTACCCACGATAACATGTCTGTCAAAGTTCATTGAGAGTTGAAAAATGCAATTGTTTAGTTTTTTTTTTTTTTTTTCAGAATGATCTATCAGCACTACATCAGAGATGAACACGTAATTGAAACTAGAGGTTGGGCTTTTAATGCTGTGACAGACACATGCAACATAAACACCAGCCATTAGAAATTGAATACCCCTGTAACTATAACAATATCCAAAAATTCAATATCTGCACCTTGCAGCGAAGAGGTATCTATCTCTCCATTCGTTTGAAAAATTACGGTGACCCACCATTGCGACAAGTTTAATTATCAGTCTAGTATCTTAGGAAAATCAAAGCATAGACACTTGGTAGAAGGACTCAATAGATCATTTTATATCTCATGTTTAAGACTAGTAAAGCATCATACTCCAGCAGAAGTATCAGATTCTCTGCTAAATGTCCCCTTCACAGTTCTTGAAACAGTAGCAGCAGGCCTTGCTGACTCAAGATCTGGATATGAAGCGGCCGAGAACCTCCAGAAGGGAGCAGATTCACCCAACTTTTCTCTTCTCAAGGCAATCTCATTCAAAACAACAAAAACATGTGAACTTACAAGAAATGAAGACTGGGGAAGGAAGAAAAATAGAGACGCAATAGACTGTTTCTTAGAATCCTTACCTTCCCTGTCCTAGCAATCTCTCTGATTCCAAATTTACTCAGATTTCTTTGCACAGCTACCATCTTCCCTGGATCTCCTGTTACCTATATAGAAGAATGTCAAAGGATAATAGTGTAATGTAAATGAGCACACAATACTGCCCCATAACCCTATTACCAGAAAACTTATAATTGCATGATGAGCAAATTGCTACCAAATGCGAAATCAATCCAGAAACGCATAAAGTACAATCTCTTTCCAGGTAAAATGCATTTTTTGGGGAAAGAACGGTGGCATTCCCAGGAATGGTGCAAATAACAGTTTCTGAGAACACCTTATGGCCTTAGATAATACATCCAGAAGCCCAATATACATTTGATACAGGAGCTCGTTACTGAGATTAACTAGGCATATCTAACAAATAACTACAGATAAAGTCACCACACTGTTCGAACTTTACCTAGATTCTAATTTATGTTATTATAACATATGAATAATAACCAATCTGTCCTATAAAAGAATTTTCACTGCCATAGTTACAGTTTGCTAGAAACACATGTTACATGCTAATAGAGACGAAACAAATATTTTGCTGCCAGATGTTTTCTCAATCAGTAGAAATCTAGGTGACAAGGTGTCAAACTAACAGGCCAGGCGAGAAAGCTACCAGAAACTGTCGATACTATTACAATAAGTCTTAAAACAGATAGCCATTAGTAGTTTCCATCAACAAACTGTTAATCATGTAATGACTGTTAAAAAAAAAAGTAAAGAAAATGACAAGTAAACGTCACCTCAATAGTTAGCGAATTATCTGAGATGTCCACAATTTTCGCCCTAAAAATGTCCACTAGCCACATCACCTGAGAATAAAGTCAACAAACTTAATGCGCCATACAAGAAGGGAATATCAAATGGTAAAAGCTACGCATGAAGTCATATACGAGACATTATACAAGTTTAGTCAATGCTCTAACAGGAATGAAATTAGTAAAATTTAATATGAATATGAACCTTAACACCCCAAGACCCTAATGAGTACCTCTGCTCGATATTTTGGATCGGCGCTGATTTTGATGAGCATTAACTCCCGTTCCACTTGTGGCTCTTGTGAAATGTCCTCAACCTGGTTATCAAGTTTTCGAAAATAAAATAATAAAAAACTACATTCAGCAAACTCAAAGGAGCAAACTAATCAAGTCAAATAATGTAAATTCATGTTAGAAAAATATTGAGAACCAATCCTGGAACAAAGAAAAAATAGGGTCCACATTCACTCATTGAAATCAAGCAGGTATTGAATACAAAATAACTAGAGATGAAAAATATTTGTGGTGGGCAACAACAGCACATCTTCAGACCATAACGCCAATAAGATATTTCAAATACTAATACATATATCATCATTAGAGGTGAGCTACCAGGCGAATCAACAATAGGATCATAACCTTTAATACGTTCACGAGCTTCAGAAGCTGTTCCCTAACTTGTTGTAGCACCCTTTCAGTTCCAGATACAACTATAGTGAAGAGGGCCTTATCCTTGTTAAGACCCACTGCAAGGGACTCAATGTTGTACCCTCTCCTAGCAAATACCCCAGCAATTCGATTTATCATCCCACTTTCATCACCAACAAATACCGAAATTGTGTGACGTTTCACCCTGGATCCATAAATCATGAGCTAAAACCTTTTAGCAAGAGCAAACCAAAATAAACTGCAACAAATTTAACAATATCCACGCGAACTTTAGTTTTCATTTCATCTAATAGTTTAAGCATCCCACAAATATTTAAGAGAATACTCAGTACTGACTACTGAGGCTTGTAGAACTCCATTCTACGCACACTACTAGATCATCTGGTTCTTTAATTCATAATTTTCTTTTTACTTCGAATAACTAAACGAAAATGCAACACAAATGGACATCATATATATACAAATTTCAGCACTCATTTACGAACATAAATCATAAGCAATCAGCCCATTTCCAATCAGCTGGGTTTCAAAACTACCCAAAATGGACGTATACAAATTTTAGCACTCATCTACGGCATAAATCATAAGCAACAGACAATTTCCAAGCAGCTGGGATTCAAAACTACCCAAAATGGATGTCATATAAATACAAATTTTAGCACTCATTTACAAGCATAAAACATAAGAAATCAGCCCAATCAGCTGAATTTCATAACAAAATAATCAGCTCACGGTTCACCATGGATTACCACAGATG